GTGCTGGCCCATGTATAGGTGTATTGTGGTACCTTCGTTTACGCTTGTGCCCTGTGATGAAGGCATGCACATACATGCAGCATGTTGGAGCATTCACATGTACACATGAATGTCTGCTCACTGGTTATTATGTAACACAGCATGTTGGTTTATACACATGCACACAATGTATCCATGAACACACATGCTGGTTGGGGTGGATAATTTGCACATGCACATGTACATATTGTGAAAACTACACATGTTTGTGTCTGTGTGAGGCAGGATGGGGTGGTGGGGTGGAGGGAGAGAAGGGGGAAATGCAGCCTGAACCAGACTGAAATGTAATTGGGCAGTACTTAACAAAAGAAATTAAAATACAATGGAACATAGATAATGTTAATTTGTGGTTGCTAAGTCCATATGTGCCCCACAGTGATCCTTTTCTATGTGCACTTGACTCTGCTAGCCTAGTGGATGACACTGGACCTATAGTCAGGAAGCTTGGATTCAAGTCCTGCTTCAGACTCTTACCAGCTGAGTTTCCTTGGGCAAATCCCTGAACCGGACTTCGTTTCCTCCTTTGTAAAATGAGTGGGTCAGACAGGAAGGCTTGGAAGGAGCCTTCCAGATCTGGATCTAGTATCTGGATCTGTGCATGTACGTGGGCAGACTGGTCCTTCTGGGTCTTGGGGAAGGTGTTCTGCTCAGCAGGGTTCCAGCTTCCAGAATTCCTGCCTCCCCAAGGAGAGAGATACTTTGGAAGCTCCCTACTGGGTCTCCTGCCTTGTGCCCTGGGCGCATCAGGGAGGCCAGGGTGTGCCATCTTGCCAGAAGTCTTTTCATTCTGGCAATTAACTACTTCTCTTTGCCTTTGTAGAAGTGTTTAATGAATGCTCTCACCTAGGCTCTGGGTGAGATGGCATTTCCACAGTTAGCCCCGATCCTCTCAGATCAGTGGCTGATCAGGGCTCACTCTGAGCATCCCTCCCCCCTTGTTTGTACCTTCTCTTTCTCGGAGGGGGTTGGTGGGCAGGGCAGGGCAGGGATGGTGCATGGGAGGGACGTGCCCTAGGTGGCTCTGCAAAATGCCAGCCTGGGGCCTGGTGACAGTGCAGCCTGCAGAGCTCAGTCCCTACAGCAAAACCTTTGGGGATGAGCAGAATGATAGTTCCCCTGCCCTGCTGGGGTGGGGAGTAACTCCCAGGGTCCAGGTGGTGTTTGGGGCAGGGGCATCCTTCCCAAGAGTTCTGTGACCAGTGACACAACTTGGGTGGCTCGAGGGGTGCGGGGGAGAGAGGAGGAGAGACTCATCTTCCTCTTGGGGTATGCCTTTGTGAAAGTCAGAGCTGGCCAGGGTTTCCCTGGCCCCTGTCTAGGGAGGCAGGCTCGTGGGGAAGGCAGTGCCAGGTGGCATTTGCCCAGGGCTGAGCTCTCTCTAAGGCAATGGTGAAGGGGCCCTTTGGAGGCTTCTTCCTGGCACCTCTCAGGAGAGGTCAGCACCAGCCTCTGCCCCTCTACGTAGCAACTGCCAGCTGCTGGCTGCCCTGGGACGCAGGACAGGCTGGGCAGCTGTGGCATGGGAGATGCCCGGGTGGGGGAGGAGGCCCTATGTGCCTCATTACTACTGCCATCCTTTCCAAGACTTTGTTGGTGCCCTGCTGTGCCAGGACCAGAAAGGCAACAGGGCTGTGGGAATAATTGTGCACAGAGAAGGGAGAGACAGACGGGGGAGGAAGAATGGATGTCGCCGGCATCTCCTGCCCTCTGCTACCTCCCCCTTCCTCTCGTGTCCCCGCCCTGAACCAGCATCACACCTTCTGCTGAGCCTGCACCTAGGAGGCCCTTTTTCTGTTCTTATGGTTAGTGCCATGCCCTCAGGGGAAGATTCCTCCCTCCCTCCCCATCCTGGTCCCTAGACTCAGCTACAATCCCTGGGCAATGAATAGAAGCCTTTTCCATTTTAAATGGTTGGGGAGGCATTGTTCCTCAGCCTCAGGAGGCCCTCGTGAGGCAGGAGGAGGGGACAGCAGAGAGTGCCAGACAGTACCGAGCATCTCCTGTGCCTGGCTTCCCCAGCTAGGATTCCAGAGGGACCCTAAAGCATGGGGTCTGACTATGTCGTTGCCTTGCTCAAGAACCTCCAAGAGCTCCCTACTGCCCCTAGGCTCAAATACAACCCCCTTTGGCCTTTCAAGCCTTGCACAGATTGCCTCTGGTCTGCATTTCTAGGCTGATTACATAATATTCTCCTTCATGACCTCTATGGTCCAGCTGAACTGGCCTATTTGCTGTTCCTAGTACATAAGATTCTATCTCCAACCTCCGTGCCTTTGTGCAGGCTGTCCCCTGTGCCTGGAATGCCCTTCTCACCTCTACCTCTTGCTACCCTTATCTCCTTCAAGTGCCCCCCCGGGGGTGGCCCAATGCTTTTCTAACTACTCTCCCACCCTGTGGGGGAGTATATATGTATGTATGTGTGTGTGTGTATATATATATATATATATATATATATACACACACACACACATATATATACACACACACATATATATACACACACACACAAATATAAAATTATTTATAATTTTTATCTATGTGTATGTCACACACTCAGTAGAATGTAAGTTCCTTGAGGACAGGAACAATGTTTACCATCATTAATATTTTCAAAAGTTATTGATGCCTTCTGTTTTTTATATCAAATTCATTTTCACAGATCTCCCTGCCCACCCACCCAACAAGGCTTCCTTTGTAACAAAGATTAAAAAAAGTAACGCAACTGTTTAATTTTTGTTTTTGTGTCCCTAGAACTTGGCACATAACAGTCATGTGATGAATGTTTATTAAATACACGCATGTATGCATGTATGTATCTATGGATAGGTGGATGGATGGATGGATGGATGACAGTAATGAATAAGGTACCTGAGGAGAGTAGTGGATAAGGCAATGGATCTGGAGTCAGGAAGACGCAAATTCAAATCCTGCCCTAGACACTTACTAATGGTGGAATCCTGGGCAAGTCACTTAACCCTTCTCTTTTGATAATAATAGCACCCACCTCACAGAGCTGTTGTGAGGATCAGATGGGGTAATATACTTAAGACTCTTTGCAAACCTTAAACCGCTATAGAACTCTTAGCTATTGCTACTAATGAATGACTACTTGACCCCTGCCTGGAAGCTCCCATTCTGAGGGCACACCTATTACTTAGAAGCCACCTCTCCTCTCCCCAGATGTAAGAGGGAACAATTTCCATTACATGGCCAACGGCATGGAGAGGGACAGACCAGATTGCATTAAATTTAATCTTTTCAGTAGCCATACAACAGCAGGGTTTTAAAAAATGGCTTTAAAAATTAATTTGCTTAGTTTTATAAACATTTATTATCTTTCTCCCCCACAAGATAAAACCTTTCTGATAAATATAAACGGTCCAGCAAAACAGAGCTTCACCTTGGCCATGTCTAAAAATGTCTGTTGCCTGCATTTTGAATCCACTACCTCTGGTGGGAGGCAGGCAGCCCATTTCACCTTCACTGTTCTGCCTCTGCCAGAATTCCAAAGTCTTTCCGAGTTGTTTTTCTCTTTTCATTGTAGAGATTGTTCTCATTTGGCTCATTTCCTTCTGAATCAGCTCATAGAGGTCTCCCCAATTTCCTTGGAAACTCCGTTCCATCATTTCTTATGGCACAATCATATCCCATTTACGTTAGCAAACCAAAATTAATTTAGCTGTTCCCTAAGAGGTGGGTATGTCCTTCATTTCCAAGTTTTGGCTATTACAAAAAGAACTGACCCAAATATTTTTGCAGTGTGGGTCCTTTTCCTTTTTTGCTCTCTTTGGGGGTAGAGGTTTAAGAGGGGAGCAGCTGGCTCAGAGTCATGACTTTGGGGGAATAGTTCCAAATTGTATCACAGCTCTACTAATGATGTATTAATGTGCCTGTTTCCCCCCCAGCCCCTCCAACATTTGTCATTTTCCTTTTTTGTCATCTTTGCCAATCTACTAGATGAGGGGTTCCACATTCTATTTCTTAGTGTTCCTTTGATTTGCATTTCTCTAATGATTAATAGCATTTTTTCTATATGGTTGTTGATGGCTTGGACTTCTTCCTTTGAAAACCATCTGTTCATATCCATTCACCATTTATCAATTGGGGAATGGCTCTTAGTCTTATGTATTGGAATCAGTTTCTTATTTATCTTGGATATAAGATCTTTATCAGAGAAACTGACTGAAAAGACATCCCCCCCCCAGTTACCTGTCTCTTTTCTAATTTTATTTTAAAATATTTATTTATTTAAAATAATAATAACCTTATTAAATATTGATATAAGTAATATAGTTCGTGAAAAATAACTTTTCCAAAATAGAAAAAAACTAGTGACATAAATGGCATTGTTTTATATATTTTTTAAATATTAAGCAAGAGATGTTTATTAAGGAATCCAATTTCTTAATTCTGTTTTCTAATTTCCCTTCTAATTTAAACTGTATTAAGTTTGTGCAAAAACTTTTGTACATTTTCTTTTCTGTGCTCCTTTTATCAGTTGTTTGGTCTCCAAGTCTTCCCTTAGCCCTAGATCTGACAGGTAATGTTTCCCTTGCTCCTCTAATTGGCTTATGATGTCACCTTTTATTTCTAAGTCATGGGTCCATCTGGAGTTTATTTTGGTATATAGTGTGAGATTTCTGTTGGTCTGTGTCTAATTTATGCTTAACCGCTCTCAAGTTTTCTGAGTAACTCTTCAAAGCACGTAGGTATCTGCTGACCCTATGAGGGCAGCCTGGTGGGAATTATTATCCCATTTTACAGATGAGGAAACCAAGATTCAGCTGCGGGGAGGGGCTTGCTCCAGGTCGCACAGCTATTGAATGGCAAGGTCAGGACTGGAACCCAAATCGAGAGCAGTTGAGTTGTGCTCCCCACATCGCTAAGGATTGTGTCTGTCTTGACTTGGGAGTCAGGGGCGAGTGGCCAAATGAGGTAAGCAAGCCTGTGTTTGTTCTCAGGTGGACATTGAGCAGCTGGACCCCCGCGGCCGGACTCCCTTGCATCTGGCCACCACATTGGGGCATTTGGAGTGTGCCAGGGTGCTGCTTGCGCACGGAGCGGACGTGGGCAGAGAGAACCGCAGTGGCTGGACAGGTGGGTTTCCTTCCTTCTCTCTCATTTCCCTAAGATGGTCTCTGTCTCTCCACTGCCTACTCCTAGAAGGCACTGGCCTTTCCTAGGTCTGGCTGTTCTGCCTTGAAGCCCCCACCTTCTGGCCCAGACCCTGCTCTATTCCTATCTGAGTTGGAAGTACCATAGTGTGGTGGAAAGACCCTGACTCTGGAGTCAAGGACTGGGTTCAAATCCTACCTCCATGCTTACTATCTGTGAGACCTTGAAAAAATTGCCTACCCTCTGTGGGCCTCATTTCCTCCTCCGCAAAGTGGTGGTGGTTAGGGTCTGGGTCGGGGGTCAGATTAGGTGGCTTCTGAGGTCCTTTCCAGCTCTAGACTTAAGATCCTGGAGCCTCCAGTGATCCCCCCTCCCATGCTTGCCCTTGTCCCAGTGCTCCAGGAGGCTGTGAGCACCAGAGATCTAGAACTGGTACAACTCGTGTTACGGTACCGGGACTACCAGCGGGCTGTGAAGAGGCTGGCAGGTGTGCCTGTACTCTTGGAGAAACTCCGAAAGGTAACCCCAGCCTTCCCCACTTGGTTCTCCAGCCTTCCCCGGATCCTTCCTTTCTTCCTCTTCCCCCTTCCTCCTACCCAATCCTACCTAAACAAACCCAGCTGTTTCTTCCTGTCTTCTCTGGCCCAGGCCCAGGATTTCTACGTGGAAATGAAATGGGAATTCACCAGCTGGGGTGAGTCACACTGTCCAGGACTGGGGTGGTGGTGGGGGGACGGACCCTTGTGCCTTCCTTGCCCTTGATTCCTGTCTGTTAGGGACAGGCCATTGTTCCGAGGCCCTCTTCTGGGCTCCTGGCAGCCCAGGGCATCAAACCACAGGATCCTGGAGGAAGGTCAGGGCTGAAAGGGCCTTTCAGAATCATTTAGGCCATTCCACTACTGTTAGAGGGGAGTAAAATCACCCAGAAAGCAGAGACAACCTGCCCAGTTTGGGGAGCAGCAGAAATGAGTCATGAGCCCACGCTTGGGTCTGACCCCCACGTTCATTGTTCATTCGTAGAATCACAGATTAAGAGCTGGAAGGAGTCTCAGAGAGCATCTGGCCCAATCCCATCATTTTTTTTGTCCCCCCCCCCTTTCAATTAAAAAGCATTAATTTTTCTCTCTGCCCCTCCCCCAATGGAAGGAGGCGACCTATGATTCCGGCAGTGTAAGGAATGCTCTGGTGTAGATATGGAGCATTTGTTGAATGAATAACTGAATGTCTAAATAATAAACCCTCATTAATTCATTAAACTGAAGAAAGAAGAGCAAAACCCTCTTAACAGATATGCATAGTCAAGAAAAAGAAATTCCTGCATTGGCCATGTCCAGAAATGTATGTCTTACTCTGCATCTTGTGTCCACCACTTCTGCATCACAAGATGAAACCCTCTCATTTTGTCTGGGTAGTATTTTCCGTTAGTTACTATCTGGTTGGGTAGGGCAGTGGTAGGTGTATTTGGGGGAATGTTCTTTCAGCAGCTGCTTAACCTCTTCCTAATATTTCACTGCCCACACACTTTGGCTTGGGACAGATTGCTAAGGTTGTGTGGGACGTGTTCATAGGAGTGAGGGTCTGCTTTCCTCTGACTTCTGGGAAGAGCCCACTGCTCCCTGGACTGAGGAGTACTCAGAGGTGGGAGGGGAATGTTGCCCCAGACCCCTGATGGGTAGGTCTCCTCTCCCCAGTGCCCCTCGTGTCTAAGATCTGCCCCAGCGACACGTACAAGGTTTGGAAAAGCGGGCAGAACCTTCGAGTGGACACCACGCTCCTTGGTTTTGACCATATGACGTGGCAGCGAGGAAACCGTAGCTTCGTCTTCAGGGGCCAAGGTCAGTCCTAGATCAGGACAGGAGGAAGAGAGGGATGGGCCAGGAAGGGAAAGAGATGGGGGAGGAGCAGAGGGTCAGGGTTAAGTCCTAGAACAGCCAGCACTTTACATGGATCTATACTTAGCACAGTGCCTGGCACATAGCAGGCACTTATTAATAAGTGTTTATTGACTAACTGTCCCAGGTATGCAACCCATCCCCTGGGATGGGAACTCATTCCCAGGACATTCTTAACAATAGAATGTAAGCTCCTTGAGGGCAAAAAGATTCATTTTTGTCTGATTCCCCAGCATCTAATAGTGCCTGGCACATAGTAGGTACATAATAGATGTTCACTGAATGAATGAATGAAATTAATTTATAATGCATGGGTGTTAGATGGAGGAGGGGTGGCATAGTAGAGGGGGGTGATCTGTGTCCTCTAGGGGACCGCCACGGGGAGGGAAGACTCCTAGCTTATTTGCCCTCCCCTCCTCATTTTGGTGTTTTATCCTTTCTATCCTCTGGGGTAGACACAAGTGCAGTGGTGATGGAGATTGACCATGACCGGCGAGTGGTCTACACAGAGACCCTGGCGCTGGCTGCCCATGACCGTGACGTATTGCTGGCTGCTGTCCAGCCTACGGAAGAGCAGGTGCTCAGCCGCCTCACTGCGCCGGTTGTGACCACTCAGCTGGACACCAAGAACATCTCCTTTGAGAGGTAGGGTGAGGGGATGGGGAGGGGGAGGAGGAGGGACTCCTTGGGTCCCCATTGCTCAGGGGGCTCTAGCCAGTCTCTACAACCCTCTACTTCTCCAGAAATAAGACAGGCATCTTGGGCTGGCGCAGCGAGAAGACCGAGATGGTGAATGGCTATGAAGCCAAGGTGAGGGGCACACAGGTGGCTGGGCATAGAAGGGGCACCTGGGGCCTGCCCTCAGTAGGGGCAAGAGAGGGACTTCCTTGAGGACAGAGACTGTCTTTTGCTTCTCATTATGTCCCCAGTGCTAGCACAGTGCCTGGCACAAGGTACGTGCTTAATAAATGTTGATTGAATTGAATGAATGGAGGGCAGGGGGCCCACTGAGCTAACGGAAAAGGCACTAGGCAGGGTGTCGGGGACTTGAATGCTTCTTCCTCTGTCACTGACTAACTTGGAGACCTTCAGCAAGTCACTTCCCCATTCTTGGGCTCAGTTTCCTCATCTATAAAGTGGGGATAACAGTTCATAGAATAGATCTTAGAACGGAAGGGACCTCAGGGAATGTCTAGTCTAACCCCGTTGGAGAACCAGAGCCCCAGAGACAATCAGAGATTTGTCGAGCGTCAGGAAGGCAGCAATTGAAATATCCGAGCCATATGACTCCACATCTTGCCCCTTTCCCAATGCTGCTTGCATTGTCCACCATGCAGCACTTTAGAAATGCTGCTTCTATACCCACACATGTGAGGATTCATTACTGAGACATTAATTTATTCATTCAGCAAAATTAAGCATCTGCCATGTTGGTACCAGGGAGTTCCCAACATGGATGAAATCACAGGTGCATTGTGCTAAGTTGTGCAAAGGCAAGAGAAGGTCCCTGCCTTCCAGGAATTTAGAGTCTAATCACATTTGCCAATGATCTTGTGAAGGCAAGGGAATGGACCATATGACCTCACCAGGTCCCTTCTAGCCTTGCAACAAGGCCACTTGTTTGCTGTCCTCAGGAAGTGGGTGGGAGGCCCACAGGGAGAGAGTGGGTGGGGAGAAGTGGGTGGGAAGTCCACTTTGTGGGTGAGGGAGTGGGTGGGTGGGGAGGAGAAACAGGGAGTAGGAGAATCTGTGTCTGAACCTCCATTCTGACTTATGCCAGGTGTATGGTGCATCCAACGTGGAGCTCATCACCCGAACACGGACAGAGCATTTATCAGAACAGCACAAAGGAAAGATCAAAGGTATGGGTGGGAGGCCTATGGGGGCCTGGGTGAGGCGGGGCAGATTCCTATGCTCCCTCTGGCAGTGTCTTCTAGCATCCCAGCAAGGGCTCACTGTGGTCCAGTGGAAAAGGCCCTGAGTGAGGGAGTCAGGAGGCACTGATCCAGCTTCCACCTCACCACTGACTAATTAAATGACCTGATCTTTCTGAGCCTCAGTTATTCCGTCTGAAACAGGAAAGATAATTGTGAGGCATCCCAGCATGGTCAACCAGTCAGCAAGCATTTATTAAGTGCTTACTGTGTGCCAGGCTAAGCACTGGAGATACAAAGAAAGGGAAGAAAACAGTTCCTGCCCTCAAGGCGCTTAGTCCAATGGGGAAGGTGGCTCATAAATAGCTAGGTGTATACAAGACACAACAAAAGAAATAGGAGGTAATTGAGAGGGGCAGGCACTAGTAGCTGGGGCTGGGAGAGTGACCTGAAAAAAGGAAGATGGGATTTGAGCTGAACCTTAAAGGAAACCAGGGAAACCCCAGAGTGCTGGATTTGGAGTCAGAAGGCTTGGATTTCAGTCCTGCCTCTGTCAGCCTAGGCAAATCTCTTTAACTCTGGGTGTCAGTTTCCTGCCTCATCTGTAAAATGGGTATAATAATACTTGCACTACCTACAGGCAGGACTTTGTCAAGGATTAAAGGTGATTATAAAATGCTTTGTAATCTTAAAATGCCAAAGGGATATCAGGTTTTTTTAAAAAATTCTTCCATGAAAGTCCCCTTTATTATCATGGCTCTACAACAAGGTATCTTGCGGGGGGTGGTCTATGAACTTGTTTTTTTTTTAAATTGATAACTATAATTTGATATACTTGGTTTCTTTTGTAATCTTATGTGTGTTATTTTATGCATTTAAAAATCTTATTCTATGGAGGGGTCCACAAGTTTTACCAGACTGTCAAAGGGGTATGTGATACAATGAAAAGCTAATACCTCCTGGTTTGAAATGCTGTGCAGTGGAGGGCAGGGGTGGGTAGATCCTTGCAGATTGGAGTGGCGCCTTGGCCACGGCCAGGATTGTGTGCCCATGGCTCAGTCCCACAGAGACTGGAGAGGCTCCTCAGTAGTCTGACTTCAGGCTGTTCTCAGAGACCATTTACTCAAGTCATAGAAGGGTTTTGGCTGGGGGGTCTGGGTCACCCTTTTTCTGCCCTCTTCCCTCCCTGCCAAACTCCCCCTATACCCTAACACTTGAGCTGTAGTCGAAGTTTTAAAATATTGTTGTCTGTTGTTCTCACACCACAGGGATGTGGTGAGAATCAGATACTATCATAGCATCTTAGAACCAGAGCTGGAAGGGACCTTAGTGGTCACTGAGTTCAACCCCCTCATTTTACCTATACATATGAGGCCTAGAGAAGTCATAGGAATAATAAAATCAAGGTAAAAGGGACATTGGAATCCAATGCCTTCATTTTTTAAAAAATTCTTTTCTTTTTTTTAAAAAAGGTTTTCATTGTTGTCCCTTTTTCATTTTTTAAGATCACCAAATTTCCCCCCAATATCCTTCCTCCTTCCTCTTCCAGAGAACAATTCCACATTACAAATAAAACAAAGAGAAGAAAGGAAAAATTAGCATTACTCATTAATAAATTGGAAAAGTTTGAAAATGTGCAGCATATAACATTTATGGGCTTCTGCAATTGAGTGGAGTGGGAATGTCTTCTCATATGTCTTCTCATAACCCTTTCATTTCACAGATGAGCAGGCTGAGGCCTAGAGGAGTGAAGTGGCTTACCTAAGGTTACCCCAGGTAGTAAGTGGCAGAGTCTGGGATTCAAACTTCAAGACATCAGAGTGGGAAATGATAATAATATTAGTCACTTGACATACATGGATGACATACATGGAGCCATTATATGGCTCCATCAAAAAACCCATTCCACAGCCTCTTTGTCGTGCAGAAATTTTCTCCAGTGATATAAAAAGATCTTTGGAGTGAATGAGTATAAAAATTCTTAAAGTGTGTTGAGAAAAAATAGAGACTCAAAGCTTTTAGCTTCATTATGGAGGTCAAACAGAACCAGTGGATGAAGGCAATAACTATAAAGATCTAAAAAATAATTTCACCTTTTTTGGCCTCAGTTTCCTTATCTGTAAAATGAGGGTAGTGGACAAGGGACCTTTGAGGTTCCTTTTAGCTCTGAATCTAGTATTCCTATTATCCTGAATCAGAAGCTCAATAGGAAAAAGAACTTTAGAGCAATGAACACCTTTGCAATATAAGTCAGTGCACACGTTTAGTATAATAAAATGCACAACAGGTTTAAAAATGATCTGAACAAAAACCTGTACAGTGTTAATGAAAACACAGTGCTTACCACCCTAAGGTAGTCACAGAAAGATGAACAGGTGAAATTCTATTCATCTCCTTAACTTCTTTCTTATTTATTTTGTGGTTACATTTATCTAGTTCTGAGATGGGGAAGTTGAGGTCTTTGTCAAAAAAGGAGAGGAGGATCGATAAAAGTTCTCAGATTGCATGCTAATCCAATTAAAACTTTAAATACTTTTGGAATGTGACCAATACTGGGTTACCTTTGGATGGAACTTCTCAAGGCTAAGATCTAAGTGTGGAACCAAAGACCTTCCATGGGTAACAGCCGCATAAACTCAATCCAAAATACCATCAAAAAGGAAGCAATGAATAAGTGGCTAAGTCTTTTGGGTTTTTTTTTCTCAGAAACAGAGTTTACAATGATTATATGGGACTCAGGCAGAGCCACTAAAAATTACAGAAAGGTCACCCAAAGGAGCTCAGCCATATAGACAGATGCAGATTTTGCAAGGAAATGGTATTTAGTGCATATGGAATACTTAGGTACCATCAAGTTGTAAGAATTCTACACCTGCAACTCTCTGGTGTATAACTGTATAACTAAACAAACTGTACCCAAATCTAGATAACAGCATTACCCACAATCACTGGGACACAATATTGCCCCGTAGAAATTCAGGCCCTCATTTTACAGATGAGGAAACTGAGGTCGAGAGAGTTGAACAAGTTACAAATGCCTGCTCTTCAAATACAACTCCCCAAATATTCTTGATCCAAATAAACTGTACTGGAGCTAGAAGACGACCCTGGATAAGAGCATTGCCCACAATCATCTAGACACAATCTTGACTTTGACAAATTCAAGACCAACATTTTCAGTAGCTTTCACCTCATTGAATACTCATAACCTCCAAACTACATAGAATGAAAATCTTTGAAAATAGAGAGACCTCCCAGAAGTGATCGAAATGGTGGAAATGCGAAGTACCCATTGTCCCCTTCCTGTCTGCTATTGGAGTTGTCCTGAAGATGCTTTCAGTGAACCTATGGAAGATGAAGGGAGGAAACAAACATGTATTAAGTGGCTGCTATGAGCCAGGCACTGTACAAATATGCCTTATTTGATCCTCAAAACAACTCTGGGAGGAAACGGAGGAAGAAAAAGTTTTAATATTTGTCTTTAGTCATAGAAAATGCTCATTTTATTCACTTGCACAAGAGACTGACAAACAGGAAACAATAGCAAGAACCATTGTTTTCTGAAGTCCCATCAAAATTAAAGATGAGAATGACAAAATCAACAATAGATGAAATGTACATAGCACTTTTAGGTTTCAAAGGACTTTCCTGTTACCTTATTATATCCTCAAAACAACCCTGTGATGTAGACTATTGTTACCCCTGTCTTACAGATGAGGAAACTGAGGCTTTTGCTTCAGTTGCCTAAATGACTTGCCCAAGGTCACATAGCTAGGATGTGTCTGAGGCAGGATTCAAACCCAGGTCTTTTTGACTCTCGTGTCCAGCACTCTATCCATTATACCGTGATGCCCCCAAGACAAATGCAGTATACCCACCAGTTACTATTTTCACTGTTTATGACCAGCAATCATTAAAAATCATGACGGTAATTTTTCATTTCTCTTAGTCCCAGGGAGGTGAAAGGCAGCTGTTTTCAGCTCTCTCTTGGCCCTTTGGCAGCCCCAGGACACCCTGCTCTGCTCCTAGGCCTTCCTTGACCAGCATGGGATAGAACCAGAGAACAGCAGAGTTGAGAGGGATCTTGGCAACCCTTCTGCTTTCTGTTTTGGACATAATTCTGGTCTTGGTCTCTGCTTTCCTGCCATGGACCTTGCAGGGTCTGGGTGCCAAGGGGAGTAGGTAGGTAGGAATGAGTGGTACCTGCCTATGTGATGAGACCTCTGTCTCTTGCAGGGAGCAAGACCCCACTGCAGTCCTTCCTGGGCATCGCTGAGCAGCATGGGGGGCCCAATAATGGGGTGAGTGCCATATTGGGGAGAGGCATGCCTGGAAGTGACCATGTGACACTGACCATGTGAGTGTGGGGGCAGGGCAGAAGGGAAGTATTAGGGAGACTTTCCATTCTAGGGCCTCCCCTCATCCCCCGACAGCCTGCTGAGATCCTACTCTCCCCTCCCCTCAACTCCAGAACTCCTGGATACCCACGGGCTATGGGAGCCTGATGGTGGCCTGGAAGGCTGGAGAGGGCAGGGGCTGATTTTGTCTTTCTTTGTATGCTGGCACTGAGCACAGCGTCTGGTATGTGGTAGGAGCTTGGAGGCTGAGGGGAAATCCAGCTTGGGGATCATGGCAGGTGGAGGTGGGATTTTTGCCTGATGTACCACTCTAGCCTCCACGGAGCCACCAAACTGATGTTCCTAAAATAGGTCTGACCATGCCACTCCTTTGCCCTATGTGTGGCATTCCCTTCCTCCTAAACTGCCCATCATGGAAGCCCTAACTCTCATCAAACTCAAGCTCCAATTTCTACTGGAAACCATTCCTGATTCCCCTAGTTGGCGCAATCCCTGCCACAAATTATGCCATATTTGTTCTATATTTGCTTCTCTGTTCTTCCATCTTCTACCCTGTGCTCCCCCACCCCCCCCCCACAGTAGTTCATAAACTCCTTGAGGGCTGAGATTATTTCACTGTGGTCTTCTCATATCATAACTGAAAACGGTGCCTTGAAATGCAGGGAGCGCTGACTCTGGCATCAGAGACCAGAGTTCAAATTCTGCCTTTGACACTTATTATATGTGTGACCTTGGGAAAGTCAGTTCAACTCCCTGGGCCTCAGTTTCCTCATCAGTAAAATGAAGGGGCTGGAGGAGATGGCCTGGGAGCATCTTTCCAGTCCTGGAACCAGGACCCTTGGGTCCTATGCATGTGCTGTTTGAATTGGAATGAATCGAACTGATTTCCTGGCACAGACCCTGATCACTCAGACGCTGAGCCATACCAATCCCACCGCCATCACTGCAGAGGAATATTTCAACCCCAGCTTCGAGCTTGGTAACCGGGACATGGGGCGGCCCATGGAGCTCACCACCAAGACCCAGAAGTGAGGACACCTTGATTCCCAGGCTCTGAGCATGGCAGGAGGCAGGGGCTGGCTCCTTGAGAAGGGACATGGGGCAGGGGAAGAGGGCAGGGGGTTTGGGTTTAGAGATGAGCAGGGCTGGGGTTGGGGGAATGGAGAGGATAAGTTGAGTGGGGGGTCCTTCTTTCCCTAAGATTTCCATCTTCCATCTCACCTTGGGGGTCTGGTACCCCAGGTTCAAAGCCAAGCTGTGGCTGTGTGAGGAGCACCCCCTGTCCCTGTGTGAGCAGGTAGCTCCCATCATTGACCTCATGGCCATCAGCAATGCCCTCTTTGCCAAGCTGCGAGACTTCATCACCTTGCGCCTGCCTCCTGGTTTTCCTGTCAAGATTGGTGAGTGCGCCTCCCCTCTCTCCCCTGCCAATCTGTCCTTTCAGTTCTGCCCCCCTACCCCAGCCTGAGGTCAAGAGGCTATGGGGAGTGCTGAGCACAAAAGGACCACTTGCGCACCTTGGGGAATCTTAACGTGGCACTCTCTCTGGCTTTCTCTGCCTCCCTTCCCCGTCTCTGTCTTCCTCTTCTCCTATTTTTCTGTCTCTTTATCTCTGCCTCTCTTCCCCTCCCCTTTCTCTGTTGCCCCCCTTTTTCTCTCCATCTCATTCTCTGTCTCTCTTTCTATCTTTCTGTCTCCCTCCCTTCTCCCCATCTCCCCTTTCTTTCTTATCTCCTCTCTCCTGTTTCTCTGTCTCTCCATCTGTTTTTCTCCCTCTGCCCTTTTTCTGTTTTCTTCTTTTCTCTTTTCTTTTCCTCTTTCTTTTCTTTCTCTCCATCTCTGTCTCTCTCTTTCTATCTTTGTATCTCTCCTCCCCTTTCTCTCCTTCTCCTCTCTTTCCCTCCTTCCCTCTCTGTTTTCTTCTTTCTTCTTTCTTCTTCTTCTTCTTCTTCTTCTTCTTCTTCTTCTTCTTCTTCTTCTTCTTCTTCTTCTTCTTCTTCTTCTTCTTCTTTTCTCCCCCTCCTTCCTCTTCCTCTCTCACTTTAGGCAAGTCTCTCCCCCTCTCAGTGCCTCAGTCTTCTCCTCTCTGTAATGAGGGTGTACATGACCTCCAAGGTCCCTTCCATCTTACCTTACGAACTAGATGAATCAGAAGCCTAGGAAAACGTAAGTTGCTTGAGAGCAGGGGCTCTTTGGATCTTTGCCTTGGCCTCCTCATTACCAAACACAGTGTCTAGTATAGAGTAGGTACTACGTGAGTGCTTCCCAAATTAATGACCAAATGCCTTTCTGCCCAGCGTCAGGCCAAGATTGTGGGATAGCACTGGTTGGACGGGGGGATGGAAGAAGCCTGTATCAAGGTAGGCCATGAATGAAGGTGGGGAAGACATTTTCAGCCCATTCTCCCCCTTCCTTCTCCTCCCCAGAGATCCCCATCTTCCACATCCTTAATGCCCGAATCACCTTCGGGAACCTCAATGGTTGTGATGAGCCCGTAACTTCTGTCCGAGGCAGCCCCAGCAGTGAAGCCCCATCCCCCAGCAGTGACAACTCCAGCATCAGCAGCTCCAGTTCCATGAGTGAGACACTCTCCTCTTCTCCCTGACCCCACCCAGAACTCCCCACCCTCCTCCCTAGCAGCTTAAGGATCCTTGGTCTTTACTGCCCAAAGCCTTGGAGATGCCCCAGTGTGGTTCTGAGGTGGGGTGGATATGAGGGGAGCTGAGCCACAGAAAGAACTCCTCACAAGTGGAGCCTCCCCCAGTGATATAGTCAAATGAGTAACAGGCTGATGCCTGGAACTGGGTTCAAATCCTGACTAACATTTGAGCCTTTTTCTTCTTCCATAAAATGAGGGTGTGGGGCTAGATGATCCCTAAGGCCCTTCCTAGGTCCACGCCCTGTGAATCCTGGTCCTTCTACTCCTGACTCTCTCTCTCTGTCCCCACCACCCGATTCTGCCCCTGCCTAGCATCATGCCGAGGCTGTGAGATCGCGCCCTCCCTGTTCGAGGCACCCCGGGGGTACAGTGTCCTAGGCAGCCAGAGGGAGCCAGGCCGAGAGGAAGAGGACGATTTGTTGCAGTTCGCAATCCAGCAGAGCCTGTTAGAGGCAGGCAGTGAATATGACCAGGTGTGCCCAGCTGGCAGTGCCCGCTTCTGGCTTAGCCTCTTCCTGGGCCTGGGGTGGAGGCAGGGCACCCTATGGGGCCACACCATCCATCAGCAAGACCCAGGGACTGAGTGGGTCAGTCCTTCCTCAATCCTTGCCCTCTCCCTTCCACCAGGGGAAAAGTCCAGAAGGCCTTATGCTGGGGATGGGAAAGGAGTAGTGATTTTTTTGGGGGGGGGGCGGGTGACTTCAGGGTCAGGTTAACATGCCCGGTGCCCCCTCTCCCAGGTCACCATCTGGGAAGCGCTGACCAATACCAAGCCTGGCACCTACCCCATGTCCCAGGAAGGCCGAAGGCCAGACAGGTCAGTGACAGAGGGACAGAGGGCACCAGGTGGGGCCGAGCTCGAGTTCTGGGCTTCCAGCCAAAGCCCTGGGTGGGCCCAAGGTAGGGGAGAGGGATTGGGGATTTCTCTCCCAGACCCTTCAGGGCGCCTGACTCCCTGCCCATAGTGAGCAGGGCAAAGGGGTTAGAGCCCCAGGGCACCCCCCTCCCATACCCTAGGCAGGCTTCGCTCCATTGAAGCCCAGGTGCTGGGGGAGGAGGGTCCCCCTTCCCAAGGCTTTTGGTGGAAATACCTTTTCAGGTTGGGGCAGCCTCTCAGAAGCAAGCCAGACAAGTCCCCCAAGCCTAGGCAAAGGTCAGAATGTCCCTGGACCAATTTAGTGTAAGGGAAAGAGTTCTGGATGGGATTCCAGTCCCAGGACCTGGGTTTACATTCTCCTTCTCCTGCTTCCCAGCTACTGAACTTTGGGCAAATCACTTCTCTCCAGGCCTCAGCTTCCTCAAGTGTAAAATCAGGGAGTTGGACTAGCTGGTCTGTGAGGTCCCGGCTAGCTTTATCTCTAAACCTCACTGGGCCTCAGTTTCCTCCTCAGTAAAATGAGTGGGTTGACTTAAGCGACCTGTGCAGTTCCTAGCGGTGACCCACATGGGATCTTAGTCATTGTTCCTCTGGCCTCCCCCACAGAAAGAGCCGAAAGGGCAGGGTCAGTTGGAATGTATCACCATTCTCCTCTCCCCACAGGCCCCCCCAGCACACTCCCCAGCGGCAGCCCGGGCCCCCGGCCCCCCCAGCCTCCGCGCCCAGCCCTGGCGGCCCCGGCCACGTCTTCCCTAGCTACGATGAACAGCTTCGTCTGGCCATGGAGTTGTCGGCCCAGGAACAGGAGGAGGCTGAACGGCGGGAGCGCCAGGAGGAGGAAGAATTCAAAAGAATCCTTCAGTTGTCACTGACTGAGCAGTAGCCCCCGTGGCCCCCCCTCTACCCCTCCCCTCTCTCCACTCCCCAGGCAAGGGACCTCCGCCTCCAGCCTCATGGGGACCGCTCCGCAGGGTGCTAAGGCTGGGGATGCCCACTGTGGGTCAGAGCCCAGGACAAGCCCTCCCCACTGGCTTGGTGGAGGGTGGGGCCCGGACGTGACTGAAGGGGAGGGGAAGGACATTCCCCCCACCTCAACCCCTATCCCCATCCCTATACTCAGATTGAGCCACTGGGAGGAAGGGGAATGGGAGAGGTTCAGAACCGAGCCCCTGGTAGTGCTGCATGAGCACTGGGGTCACAAGTTGGGGATTGTGGACAGAGTAGGGTGACCAGAGGTGGTGACTGGAGCGGGGGGATGGACGGGGGGATGGGTGAGGGGAGGCGCTGGAGTGAGGGAAGGGCCAGGCAAACCAAGGAGGTCCAGAGCAGAAGGGCCTCGAGCGCACCTGGGGAGGGGGAGGGGGAGGGGTCAAGGGAGCCACTTCGGTCCCGGGGCACGTGTGGCTCTGACCGGTTCTTTGCTAGCTGTGCCCTGGCCTCCTCCCCGGCAACCGACCCCAGCAGCTTCTCCCCCAGCCCTTCCTTTGGTGGGCAGGATGAGCCTTTCATTGTCACACTTCCACTCATGATTCAAGTACCCTTCCCAGAGCAGCACTGGGGCGGGCAGGGGGAGGGGCGCAGCTCGGACCCTGGATAGGTGGAGGGATAGGCGAGCAGGACGCTGTCTGAGCCCTGGCCCCTTTGCCCCAATACTGACTCCTTGCCTGCTTACTCTGCCCTGGGGAAACGTTCTTAGACCCCCTTTCCATATCTGGCCCAACCCCCTTGGGGGGAGGGGTGCTCAGCTCCACGCCGTGTGCTCCACCCCAACACAAACCAGCACCTCGGAGGGGCCTGGCCCCCCTCGACCCCTCCCTGAGTCAAGTGCACTTAGCTGGGCCTGGGCGCCTTGGGCGCTGCAGCCAGCTCCCCCTTCCCCACCCCTCCTGGTTCTCAGGGTGGCCCTGACCTCTCCCAGGTGGCGGAGCACAACGCTGGAACCCATGCCTAGGGACCAGTGCTGCCCCCTCCATCATGGGCTGCAAGAGCAGGGAGGAGGGCAAAATGTCACCCCCACCGTACGTGGTGCCCCCTCCTCAATGCCGGGGAGGGCCCAGGCTGCCCTCTGGTGTCTGAGAGGATGGGCGGGAGGGGGTATACTCGGCATCGGGACTCCAGGAGCCCAGGTCATGAGATCTGGGGTTGAGATGGTAGTGGTGGAGGTGTGGTGTGTGAGGGGGTTACACCCAGCTCTCCTGATGCCCTCTGGCACCACATGCCCCCTCCCCAGCCCCCCACTCCCACCAGCTGCTGCTATCCCACTCCACCCCTGCTGAGGGTGCAACCACAGAAACCTTCCACCCAATGGTGCTAACTCCTCCCTGCTCTCCCCTTCCCCACCCAGCCCCAAGAAGCACAGACCCCCGGGCAAGGGTCCCGATGCACACAACCCCCCACCCCCATCCCCAAAGGACTGGCTCACACTGTGAGAAGGGCCTGCCCAGCCAGACAACTCCAAATACACACACACACACACACACACACACACACACACGACAAAAAAGCCACAAGATTGAACCTTCCTGTCCCACCCACCTCTCCCTGTCATTTCCCCACCCTGGGCCAGGGACACTCCAGCAGAAGAGACACAAATAAAACAAAACAAAAAGGCTTTAAAACTGGCAGTTCTCCTACTGAGACTGATTTTATTGGGAAAAGCCCACGGGGAGGTGGGGGAGGAGGCTGGGCACACTCCCCACAGGTGTGGGGGTTGTTGAAGGTCTGGCCTCACTCAGGGCCCTCTTCCCCAAGGAGGGAGGGAAAGGGGCCATTCTTGGGAGGGCCCTTAGACACCCTCCTGCCCAACTACCCTAACGAGGCAATAAACCCAAGGTGTGGCGCCGGTGGCGTGAACAGCTGGTTCTCCAGCCGCCACCCAGGCACACGAGGAGTCCGCATTCCCCTTGGGAATCCTGGGCCAGGATTGATTATGTTGAGCCACTTAAAAAATGCTTCGCTCTATCTTTGCCCAGCTGATCCTTTCTAGGGCTCAGCAGAACGAAAGCCTTGAGAAGATTTAAAGATAAATGTCTTTCCTTCCCTTCCAAGCCTCTTCTTCAGGCTAAATGTCTGTTCCCTCAAGGGGACCTTCTATCCCATGATTTCGAATGCTGTCACTTATCTGGTGTGGTTACAGTTTGTCATCCCTAAAACGGACCGAATGCCTTAGATGTGGGATGAGGAGGGAGACAAGCCGCAGATGCATAGTAACATTTCATAAGCACCAGGGGTTGGTGAGGGGAAGCAGTCATGCTGGCTCCTTCCACATCCCTCCCTAGGAGATTCAGCAGCTGTGGGCAAAGCGGCAGGGGTCCTCTGACCCCACCCCCCACCCCCGTGCTCCCCGAGATGGAAGTTCCATCCTTTTCAGCCTTCAGCCCCAGGCCGGCCGGAACCCTCTGTCTCATTCAATTCTGGTCCACAGACAGACGTATACATACACACTACACTTAGGCTGAGTATTTAATAAAATATTTAATTTTTCAATCCTCCACAATTTCCTTTTCAAAGAGCAGAGCCCATGATGGGGGGGAGGGACAGACAGGGGCAAGGGAGGGTGTGGACAATATGCTCCATTCCAAGCCATACCTTCACACCTAGCCTAGTGAAGTGAGGGTGTGTGTGTGTGTGTGTGTGTGTGTGTGTGTGTGTGTGTGTGTGTGTGTGTGTGTTGGGGGGCAGCCTTCACACACCAGGATAGGAGCCCACGTGCTATTGGGAAGATGGGTGGTGAGATCTGAGGTGGAGGAGGGGATGGCACCCAGCCATGGGTGAGGGGCCTGGAAGGCCCCTCCAGGCATCTGTCCTTTCCTGTGGGGTTTTTTCCACCTGCCCATCCCAGGGAGAAACCCCACCCCCCTTCCCCCCTTCCGTGATGAAGTAGAAGTCTCTGCCTTCTTTGATCTCCCACACTGCAGCGAAGCTCCTACTTCTAGAGCCTGGCTAATGTGAAACCTCTCTCTCCTCAGGTCTCCTCTAACCCCTATGGTGGCTGGGGAGAGAAAGGGGAAGGGAAGGAAAAAACGAGGGCAGAAGAGGCCATTCCCCACTAACCACCACATTCCTCAAAAGTGTTTTCCTGTTCTCTTGTCTCCCCTCCCCTGCCTCTACCACAGGGTTTGCCTAAAAATTCCACTGTCAACACTACTGGCCCCCACAGTCCTTCCTCTGTCCTCAGGTCAAATCCCAAGTCTCCCCCCCCCAAAATGTAAGCTCTTTGAGGACAGGGATAGTTTCATTTTTGTCTTTTCTGATTCACACACAGTAAGAGCTTATTAAATGCTTCTTGATCGATTGCTAGCAATGTCCCTCAACCCTACCCGTGAGGGGGTATAGAGTGTTGCCTTCCAACTCCCTCCCTCTCTAGACACACAAGGTTGGGGTGAGTGTTCCATTGAGAGGGGCTGAGCTCCTCTCTCAGAGGTGAACCCCTCAAGGAAAAGGCCATGATTCACACCCCATTCCCCATTTGAAAGTTGGGGAAAGCATTCTACTCTTCTCAGCCTCCCCTCTATGGGGCAGAGTCCCCTAGATTGAGTTCACAGCCCCCCCCCCAACCCTACCTAAGCTCTCCCCTCCCATCCTGGGGTTAGAGGAAGGGAGGTGGGAGCAGGAGATGGGGACTGCGGTGGGGGGCAAGGCTAATCAGTGCCATCGACAAATTCGCAAAGCATGTTCTCCAAGGCTGTGATTCTCTCTTCCTGAGCCTGGACCCTCTCCCGGAGGGACTTAATTTCCTCAAGCAATGTTTCCAGGGTCTGCTGCTGTTGCTGCTGCTGAAGGGAAGGTGAGAAGGGTATGGGGTGTCAGAAAGGCCTCTGCTCCCCACTGAGGTGAGGGTCCAAGAAGGAAGTAATCTGGGGGACCATTGAAGGTGAGGTCTGGCAGGAAGTTCCCCAAGTGGCTCTTAGGATCTGAGATCTCCCCCTGTAAGGGTCCCTGCTCCCACCCCAACCCCTTTTGCAGAGGAAGATCCTGAGAGCCATAGACGTGTCTGGTAAAGTGTCAGAAGTGGGATTTAAATGAAGGAATACCATGATTTAGGTCAGAAGCAGGATTTGAACCCAGGGCCTCTGATACCAAAACCAATGCTCTTACTACTGTCCCATGCTGCCTCCTGAGGTATCTAGGCTAACCCCCCTTTTTTAATAGAGAGAGATCTAAGGCTCAGCCAGGGGCTGAGGGTTAGGGGAGAAGTTAGCGTCCATGCTCACCGAGAAGGAGGTATCACTGGCAGACTGGCTGCGTCTCGGGCCAGTGGGTGGCCGGACATCCAGGATGTTGCGTTTGGTGACCCGAAGTTCTCGGCTCTTGGGGGGCACATAGCCGTCCCGTAGGGAGATCAGCACGGGGTCTGCATCCTGGCCTGCTAGCCATTCATCTGCCTCCAGGGCTGGCTCAGGGCCTGGCGTGTCAGGGTACAGGTCATCCTGGAACAGGTCTGACTACACAGGATGGGAGAGGAATGTGGAAGGAGGAGGTGAGCCTCCTGAATCTGACCATGCCCTTGGGGGTGCCCTCCCCCTGAACAAATCTTCACCTGCCTGCTCCATAGCTGTGTCCTACAGCCCTAGGCAATGCCCGCCTGAGTTATGGTACTCAGTACAGGGATGGGGAATGGGCATCTGATTTCAGTGACAGAGGGAACTCCCAAACGAAGAACTCTCTCCACCAATGCAGGTTGCCACCTTTCTCTACAATGAGTCTCTGAGAGGTGCCCAGGGTGATAAGAGGTTAAGTGCTTTGAGCAGGATCACACAGCCATCCATATGCATCAGAAGTGGGGCTAGGACCCTGGTCTTATGAGCTTCAAGGTGGCCAAGGTCAAGCTGTCTCTAAGGAGCCACCCACAAGGCACCCCCTTCCCCTATTCATCCCAATCAGAAGAGCACCATATATTGTCTTAGATCGGGGGCGCTTCCCCTTTTTTATCACAGACCCCTTGGGCAGCCTGCTGAAGCCTGTGGATCCTTTCACAGAATCATGGTTTAAAAAAGAGGTTTCTTAAAACCCCTAATTAAAGGGAATGGTAAATTTCAATGAGATGTTAGTGGAAAACAAAGATCTAGGCTTTTTGGTGCCATTCAAGTTCACAGTTTCCTTAAATCTCTCCCAAGGAATCCAAAGAGCCTGGTGTCAGAGAGCTGCCTCAGTCTTCAAGAGACTCTCCCAAGGTGACAGGGCTAGTTCTCTCTGGTAATATTTACATCATACATCACAAACATATTTACAGAGCATTTCTTCCCAATGATCCTATTGAAGATTTTTATTTCAGGTGGAGAAACTGAGGCTCAGAGAGGCAAGTGTCTGAATCTCCCCCCCAGTCCAAGGGAACCCCCAGATCCCTCACCTTTCGGGGTACAGTCATGATGATGGGCTCACACTTCCTTTCATGCAGCTTGTAGAATCTGGAGGATGAGGAAGGCTGAGGTCTCACCGGCTCAAGAAAGCCTTCTCTCTCCCTTCCCCCCCAGCTGCCCTTCTTCCAGCTTAGCTTCAGCTAGAGTTAGCCCAGGAAGGGGGCGGGCACCCTCCTCCCCCCACCTCCCAGAGGAGAGAGAAAGCCATTCCCCAGGAGAGGATCCTTCTCCCCATAGACTCTCAACACCTCAAGAGCAGGCATTGTCTCATTTTCGTGTCTTCATATCGCCAGCCCCTAGGGCAGTGCCCGAAATAGAGTGGAGGCTTAATAAGTGTTTGCTGATTGATCCAACTGGACCACATACTTAGAATGGGGAGTGACCTAAGTCAAATCCCGCAGTCCAACACTTCACCCCCGTCTTTACAGAAGAACAATCCAAGGTCCAGAGAACTCATGGGGTCATAGCTTTAAAACTGGAAGGAACCTCAGAGAGCATCTAGTTCCAACCCTTCATTTTACAAAGAAGGAAACTGAGACCCAGGGAGGTTAAATCACTTGTCTAAGGCCAACAGGTAGGATTTGAACCCAGGGCCTTTGAGTCCACATCCAAGACTTTATTGTACCATGATGTGTGCGATGTTCATGTGTGTACATGCACGCATGCACATGCATGTATGTTTCTGCATGTGTGGATGTGCATTACATGTATGTAGTACATGCGTGAGTATGTGTCTGTGTGCGTGTATGTGCGTGCATTTGCATGTCTGTGTGCACGCTGGTGTACATATGCACACATGCATATCTATGTGCATACATATGGGTGTATGTGCCTGTGCGTGTGTCTGTGCATTTGCATGCATGTGCGTGTCTGTGTGACTGGGCCTCTCTCAGGCTGGGCATCCTGCGGGTGGGGTGGGGGAAGGGAAGGTCTGACCTGGCAATTTCACACTTGCTGACATCCAGGCCCCTCTTGGGCATGAAGCCCATGCCTCGCTGGGGCTCCTTGCTGCTGAAGGTGTTCAGGTAGTGGACAAAGGGGGGTTCGTCGGTGATCTCAAAGTACCGGATACTGCTGTCCCCCTGCAAAGCCCACTTCAGATCAGGGCTTGGGCTCCTCCCTCCAAGCTGCTCCCTCCCCAGGAGCGTGACTTTCCTCACTTCCATGACCAGAAGTCCCAGGCTGTCCCCCTCCCATTCTTTATCTGCTGGTCTGTAAGGTCTTAAGTCTAGGGCTAAAAGGGACCTCAGCGCTCCCTCATCAGCCCCACCCTCTCATTTTACGAAGGCCCAGGGAAGTATGGTAACTTGTAGCAAGTAGCAGGGTCAGGACCCAAACTCAAGCCCTTTGGGTCTAAATCCCCTGCTCTCTCCCCTACACTATGGCTCCAGAGAGGGGTCTGAAGGGAAGGGCTTTGTCCCCTTTGGAGGACTCGGGGGTGGGGAGGGGGTGGTTCATAAGACTGGAAGCCCTGGAGGGGTCTGGTTGTAGGGTCCTAGGATCATGTGTCCAGTGAATCTAACCTGTTTTACAAAGGAAGACACCAAGACACAGAGATAGGTAGTGAGTGACTTGCCCAAGCCCACTCCACCACTATGCCTCCCCCCAAGAGAATGCAAGCTCGCTGAAGGCAGGGATGGTGATGTTTTTGCTTTCGCATCTCCAGGCTCAGCACACTGCCTGGCACACTTACTAAATTCTCATTCATGGCGTAACAGCCCAGCCTGTCCTCTCTCCAGGTCCCCCCCAGTGCCCGTCTCCTTGCCCACCGGGTGCTCACCTTGCCACACAGGTAGACTATGCTGGAATCGGGGTCATAGAAGGGAAGCAGGACCCCATTGCTGGTGTCCATCTCCTGGAGTGCCATGGGTTCCTCAAAGTTGTTCTGGGTGGAGCACAGGGGTTGTAACCAGCCCCGCCCTACCCCCCTGCACCACCTGCCCATGCTTCGGCATCCGAACCCCTGCCCCGTGGGAGTTGGCGAGTATCTCAGCTGCAAGGCTCCCAATGACCACCAGAGGTCAG